CGAATTGTTTTGTCATATATTCTTGTGCTGGAGGGAACTCATTAGACCTTTGGTCTAATCCTCGCTTTTATAAAACTGAAACCATTTTCAAGGAAATACCATGTTGAGAGCTCCAGCAAGGGCAAGGGGAAGGTGTGATCTTGATGCGTGAAGTGAAGGCGTTACTTTCTAGTTAGATAGTTGCGTAGAATTTCTCCCTAGTTTTTGTAATAAATCTTAGTACTATACTTTATATCCGATGCAACTCTTGAGATTATGTTGATTTGTAGACCTTGCTCTTATGACAATTCTCTTACGAATCATCATAGTTCCATTAAACTTCACTCCTTCTATGTGATTTGATATTCAATGTCAGTCGGATAACACTTGTGAGGAATCCAACTACTCTACTCAAAAGGCTTTGGGACTTTTACTCATGATTATTACAATTATGTTTCGTCAATTATTCAAGACTTGTAGGGAGACCATCACTGACTTTTATGGAAAACACATTAGGGTTATGGACATCTGATGAATTTCATGTGATATTTTTGGGTTGTATGTAATTAACTTCTTATCATGATATCATGTTCTGTTCATAAAATGTCAAATCATGTATGAAAAACTGATGCATATAAGTATGTGATTTACTTGAAAATACATGGACATGATTTGTAATTGCTGATACATGTAGAATGTCATTGACCCACATAGTGGAAGTGGAGTTTTGTGGGACTATGATGGTCTGCATGGAAATTGTCATCGTAAGAGCAAGACATACGTGTCTTGCAAAGCTTGTAAGATAATATTTGTAAGAATATGATAAGTATGTCATGAAGGGGAAGGGTGAATTAGTTGAGTATGACACACTTGCTATATTTTCACGACCACCTTGTGTACTCAATGAATTCACATATGATTTGTGAAATATGCAACGTTTATTGTGAAATATATTTCAAACATGATGGTTTAAACACTTGTTAGAAGTGATTAATTCAATATTACATAACCATAAACTCACTAGGCACTAGGCACTAGGCTTATCCAAATTCTTTTCAAACAATGCGACATACGCTAGTGTAATGGAAGGAGCAGCATGAGAAAAGAAGATTCAAAATTAAAGATGAACAAAGAAGACAAAGTGCAACATTGACAAAAGTTATGTTTATCAGAATTTGAAGATCAACTTGTTAATAATTTAATGTAATAGCAATTCATTTCCAAAGTAATATAAGTGTTGATATGGGGATCACATTTATGGTGTACTATAACTTTTAAAAGTTCAGGATGCTAAAATATGTGACTTTCTGGTAAGTCCTAAATTGTGGACTACTAATAACTTCTACCATGGTTTTAAGTTGAATTATAGTTGAACTGTAATATCCAAAAGCTCAATGACGCACGTTAGCTCAATAGTAACCTTTGAACCAACTTAAAACCATGATAAAAGTGATTAGTAGCTCACAACTTTGAACTTATAAGAAGCTCACAAATATATTTTTCTATTAATGTCGAACATATTACAAACTCCCCACTTAAATTCATAATGTCCTCGTCAGCACTTCCCGCTACCACCTTGTTCATCGACGATGTAAGATTCGCCTAAAATATTACAAACACTCCTCGGGTACTCACCATGCTTTTTCTCCACTCATAAGATTAAGTCATATTTATTTGACGATGATATTATTCCAAAATATTAAATTTGGACTAATAATTATCTTATATTTTATAGTATCTAAATATTATATTTATTTATCAAAGTATCCAACATTTATGCCAAAAGAGTATGGATTAATTTTTTTTTAAATAATACAACAATAATTACTCTTGCTTGTAAAAAATGTACGATGTTTATTTGTAGGATCGTGATCATATTTTCGTTTTTCCACTAAGATTATATGTTTGATCTAATAACTTTGATTTTTGTTTAGAAGCTAACTTTTATTATAAAATATATTAAAATTTTAATCAATAGTCAGATAACTTTTTTAAACGGTATAATAACAATATATTTCTACAGAAAAATATTTATGCACATGAAATCATTGTATTTCCATGTTATATGTTATGCATTTTAGATTAATACATTTATTATTGTCATAAAAATAAGCTTGAATTAAAATATAACAAATAATTAAATGAACATATCCTTTTTTTTTTATTTTGAATCTGATACATAAAATAAAAATATCATTTATTATTGATTGTCATAAAACATTATATCCAAATAATACATGGATATACCTTTAGTTTTAACATGGTGCCTAAGTATTCCATATGTACTAAAATTCAGTAAAAATAACTGAGATTATTTAAATTCATTTAATAATAATAATAATAATAATAACAAATTTGTAAAATGGTTTTTTAAACCATTTTTTAATTGATTAATATGGATTAAATATCCAAGGTGTTTACTCCCAAAAAGAAAAAAATGGGGAAGATCCCCAAGTGGATGAACGGCCCGGCAAAGCTTCCGGCGGTTCTGTCTTGATCCGATATAAATGCGATCGCAAAACAAAAGGGCAAAATGTTTTCGGAATAACGGTACGGTACATCGTCTAAATTTTATAATAAATTGAAAATAAAAAATTAGTACAATGTTTAAATAAAATAAAAATTACATTTATTTATAATTAAATACATTTGTATAAATAATCAAAGCTACGTTTGACAAACTAGTTGATAAGTTAATTGTTAATTGATAAGATAGTTGATTAACTAATTACGTGTTCATAAAAAACCAGCAGTTAAATAATTGGAAAATGTAAATGGACAAAAAATGACACATTAAAAATTTAGTATTTTATAATATATTTAAAACAAAATCATTGGTAATATAATATATTTTAATTTAAACAAATCAGATGATAAAACAATTAACTGATAGAATATGTGAATTACTATAACCTCAATTTGATTTTATATATATATATATATATATAAAAGCACATAAAGTAGTTATTGTTGAAATTTAAGAGGTACCACTTATTATGCATCATGTACAAGTTTTGAAGTTAAACACCTTTCTTGAAACTTCCGTGTTTCAAATATTAGAATCAAATTATTTTTAATTTTTATGTTACTTATGTTCCTTTAAGTTTTATACTCTTATAATTAGTTATTTAATTTTCTTTATATCATTTTTTTTTCCATTTTTCATTTTACACCCTTATCATATGATCATACATAATTGTATATTAACTAAAAATATATTAAAAATATGTTTTATTTTTTTACAAATTATACCATTATAATTGTCTCACCAATGCCTTCAGAATGAGGCCAATATGAATATTTTTCGATTTAATCATATTATTAAATAGCATAAATACTAGTGAATTATTTTAAAACTATACCTTATAGTTATCGTATTTAATTTGTTTTATATTCTTTATTTTCTCTATTTTTATTTTACACCCTTAATTTACAATGTGATAACCGGGTTCCAGTTATATATCTGGAGGTAATTATTTGATTATGTGGGTACATGATTATTGATTATGTGATTAATTGTTTATAATTAATCCATAATGTGAGTATATGCGTGTGTGTGTATATATATATATATATATATATATATATGTGTGTGTGTATGTGTATATGTGTAGGAGTATATGCATACACGGGTTTGTTTGTGAGTTATCTGCATTGTTTAAATATGCATGATTAAGTGGAGGTGTTGGAGTGTATGCATAAGGTTGGGAAGGATAAAAGAATTTTAAAAAAAATTCTTTCCTAAACCGCCTCTTATGGATTATCATTATTATAATAACTAAAGGGAAATGAGATAAGTGTTTTATCTCATTGGTAAGTGAGATATTTTGATTTTAAAACAATTTATCTCCACCGCCTCTGTTTTGATTAAATATAAAAGGAGTGGATAAGAAATTCATCTTATCTGTGATTCCGAACCTTAATGGAGGGGAAGATGAAAAAGTTGACATACAGGTGGAATACATTTGGGAGCCTCTTCAGTGCTCCCATTGCCATGTGTTTGGGCATAAAACAGCTTCGTGTGTTAAGGCTGTTAATCATCTTAAAGGAAAGCAGGCAGATGGTAAGAATGATTCAGATGGGTTCATAAGGGTGGAAAAACATCAATGGAGGGTCAAATCAATTGGCAATCCTCAACCTTCAGATTTTCGTTCTAGAAGCACTAATGTGAAAGTTGGTTCCTCAAGACCTGTTCAGGCCAATAATATGGAATCAAGCTCTCCTAGCATGGAACCGTCTGTGGAACCGATTGTGGAACTGATAGAAGAAGTGTCATCTGGGCAAACTGGCCAATGTATGAAGTCTAAACCAAAGGGATCAGGTAATGGTAAACAAGGAGGTCCTAAGCATGTGTCTTCTAGGAATGTTCTTAAATCATCCTCAAATGTTAAAACAGCCCCTCTCCTAGCTTCTATTGTCAAGTCTTTTCGGTTGGCTCGGAGAGGGACTTTGATTGATTTGACGACGTGTTCAAACAGATTCGGGCCATTAGAGAGTACCCAGGGGGGGAAGATCATGGAGGTATCAATATGGCTACAGATAAGGAGACCGATTCGAGTACAACACTTGCGGAATCAAGGGATCAAGGGGAGGAGGTACCAAATGCTTCATCATGTTAAAGTTCACATCTTGGAATATCCGGGGACTAAATTCCCCGGTCAAGCAAAAGGAGATACGAAATTTAATTCATTGCAATGGTTTAAGTTTGTGTGCAATTAGAAGTCCCATGTTTTCAAGGAGTCCTTAGAGAATGTTTGTTCTCGAACTTTAGGACGTTGGTCCTGGCTTTCTAATTAGATGTCGTGTGAGTTTGGTACCCGTCTAATCCTTGCTTGGGACTTAAAGGTCTTAGATGTCATGATTCATGAACAATTCTTGAATTATGAACTAAATATTCGGGAGGTTCAAGATCCGATCTTCCTCTCTATTGTTTATGGGCTAATAACAACAATTAACGGAGGGAGTTATAGTTGGGACTCCGAAAATTCAAAGTCTTGTTGGGATCTAAACCTTGGACCGTTATGGGTGATTTTAATGCTATGTTCTTTCCTCATGACGGTTTTGGGGGGTCCTCTCGTAGAAATGCTGATATGTCTGAATTCTATTCTTGTGTGGAGGATGTGGAGGTGTTTGACTTACATTATACGGGTATCCATTTCTCTTGGAACCAAAAGCCGAATGAAGAGGGGGGTATTAAGCGCAAGCTGGATAGGGTGTTGGCTAATATGGAGTTTACTAGTATGTTCCATGATGCCAATGTCCATTTTCTTCCATCTGGTTATCGGATCACTCTCCGGCGGTTTTATCTTTTAAAGGCGGCATGCGGAAAAAGATTTGGGGTTTTTAATTTGATAATTTCTTGGTGGAGCATCCGTCCTTTTTTGCAGGTTGTGAAAGATGAATGGTCAAAACATGTAGAGGGGTCGTTCATGTTTCGTATGACAAGTCATTTGAAAGCTCTCAAGACCCTTTTACAAAAGCTCCAAAACTCCTATGGTAATCTCTCGGATCGGGTTTCTTGTTTGAAATCAGAATTAGATGTGATCCAGGTGGCAGTGGATAATAACCCCTCTAATGTGGAATTGGGATTTGATCTTGGCCATCTTCGGCTTGCTTATCAAAAAGCTTGCTGGGATGAGGAATGTGAGGCTAAACAGAGAGCAAAAGTTAAATGGTTGAATGAGGGTGATTCGAACACTAAATTCTTCCATTGTGTGATTAAAGAACGACGTCATGCTAATTTTATTCAATCTGTTTGCACTAGCCAGGGCAATTATGTGAATGGAGAGGATGTCCCTACTGTTTTTGTGGATTATTTTAAGGGTTTCTTGGTGCGCGGGATGAGTTAGTTGCTCCGTTTATGCCGGATGATCAGTTTTCTCGGAAGCTTTCGTTATCTGAAGCTAATCATATGATTAGACCTATTTCAAATGAGGAGATCAAAACTGCTATGTTCAGTATTGGTAGCAACAAAGCTCCAGGTTCAGATGACTACTCTTCTCGATTCTTCAAAGCTTCTTGGAAAATTATTGGTCGTGATGTGGAGGTTGCAATTCACAATTTCTTTTATAGAGGTAATCTTCCGAAAGAATTGAACCATACGCTTATTTGTCTTATCCCTAAATCTGTTAATGCATCTAAGGTCTCGGATTACCGACCTATAGCTAGTTGTACGGTGCTTTATAAATGCATATGTAAAATCATTGTAAATAGAATGAAGGGTCATTTGAATTTTTTAATTGATGGTGCTCAATCGGCCTATATTCCGGGGAGGTTCTTATGGCTCATGAGTTGGTGTCGGGTTATCAAAAAAGGGAGGGGCCTCCTAGATGTGCGTTCAAAATTGATATTAAGAAGGCTTATGACACTGTGGATTGGCAGTTTCTTCTCAACATGCTTCAGGGACTTGGTTTCCACCCTGTTATGATAAAATGGATAAAGGAGATGGTTTCTACTACTTCTTATTCGATTGCGGTAAATGGTGATACATATGGTTTTTTCCATGGGGGAAGGGGGATAAGACAAAGGGATCCGTTATCCCCTTATCTTTTTACGATTGTGATAAAGGGGTTTTCTATGATTCTCAAGTAATGTATTCGGGAAGCTAGCGACTTTGGGTATCATAGAGGTTGTGAAGAATTGGATATAACGCACTTATGCTTTGTCGACGATCTCTTTGTGTTCACAAAAGGTGATGTTCAGTTGGTTGAGGTTCTTAAGATGGCTCTTCACCTTTTCAAGAATCGTTCGGGTTTAGTGCCAAGCCTTGAAAAGAGTGAGATTTTCTTTGGGAATGTCCCTCCTAATATTAAGGAGGCTATTCTTGCTTATCTCCCTTTCAAACTAGGTTCTTTCCCTTTTCGGTACTTGGGAGTTCCTTTATCTCATACCCGTTTGAAATCAGTTGATTATGGCCCTTTGGTTGCTAAGATTAAGGGTAAAATTCTTAATTGGAAGGCTAAGTTCCTTTCCTTTGGAGGGAGGAGACAGCTTATTATTTTGGTCCTTCAATCTTGCAACTATATTGGATGTCTATGTTTTTGTTTCCTTCGGGGATTATTCATGATATTGAAGCTCTTTTCCGGAATTTTCTTTGGTCTCCAAGGGATGATTCTAAAGGAAGATGCAGGTTAACTTGGGATGTGGTGTGTCGACCTCTTAAGTGTGGAGGTCTTGGGCTCAAGCGTTTAGCAACAGGCAATCGAGCATTATTTGCTAAACATATTTGGGACATAGGAAGGCACCGTGACTCATTGTGAATGATATGGGTGTATCGGAACAACCTTAGATCTACGCACTTCTGTATGGCTCGAAAAAGCTCTAATTGGTCGTGGGTCCTGTGAAAGTTGTTGGATTTACGTCCTCAATTGTGGCGGTTTCTGATCTCCCAAATTGGTAATATTTGAGAACTGTAATATTTGACTGAAATGCAAATATTTTTGGGTAAATTTATTTTATCATATTTTGGTGTTTATCACCCTGTATGTGCAAAGAAGGGATTTACTCACTAGACCCTTCTGGTCTAACCCTCATTTTCTATTTTAAAAATATGCAATGCAGGAACTGCAGGGTCCAGTGATATTAAGGGGAAGGGGAAAATATGATTATTTTCCTTACTTGATATCTACTTTTGAAAATCTGCATGAGATTGCTTATTTTGGAAGATACATATTGTTATACATGTGATAGTACAGGATTTTATTTTGAAGTTTTTCATATGTAGATTTTGTACATATAAGAATCCTTGTACGAGTGGGACTATTGTGGTGTAAACTGTATTTCTATTCACTGAAATATGTGTTATATGCAGATGTGGTATTTGGGGGTGTTACATGTTGTTTGGATGTTTAACCAATATAATCAATGAAAAATACAAAATCTATTGTAACACCCCAAGATCACATTTGCATATAAAAACATATTTTCGTATATCAAGAAAAATATAGTTTACACATCTGGTCCCAATATCTACAAAAGCTACATTACAATGTAACTATGAAAATTTTCCATATAATATCAATACAAAACTTGTATACATAACAAGTATTCAAATACAAAAGATAACATATTATCCCAATATCCCATGCAAGCATATATAAACTCTTCAACAATTTTCCCTTCCCCTTATCGTCTGGTTGTGTCCGACCTATAATGTATGTAGGAACCCAGAACCTCAAATACATCAGTAATTACTGCTTGAGTTAACAAAATAAGCAGAAGCAATAGCAATAATACTAGAATGGTTAGTAGAAATGACTAAGAAACAATGATCTTTTACAGAAGCAGTCACATCGGTTGTATTTCAATAAGCTTGAAGAGATTAGACAAGAACACCAAGAACACACAGTAATATGTGTATCGAAGTTCTCTCAACTAGCTAAATCTCACAAGTGCACAAAATATTCTCTCTAAATAACGCAGGAGCCCATCTTCTCAATTTGTGAATTGGTAAAAAAATCCTTAGAGGAATTACCCTTTATAGGCGTTTCCAAAAAAAGGAATATTCCATAATTGGCATTTTGGCTAAGTCAACGCGTCCACCACTCTTCTGCCTCCACGTGTCTGATTGCAATAATCGCTTCTGTATACATGTCGGACAGAGACTGGAACACTTGTAAGATGAGCGCTGGAACCTTCACGCAAACGGGCCAAGTAAGAGATTTGGAGGCTCTACATGTACTATGCAGAGGCTCTGTGTCTGGAAGTTGAGCTTTGTATCCGAGGAATTGGCTTTGAGCGTGCAAGTCTTCGATCTTCATTCCCTTTGTATCTGAGCCCTGTACCCAAGCTCTTGGTTCCCGCCCGCTTTCAGACTAAGTCCTCTTGACTAGAGCAAGAGGCTTTTTTACTTACACGTTTCAAATAAATAATCTAACAATGCATATTTTCAAAACACCAAAATGAGGATTAGATCTTGAGGTCTAGTGAGAAATACCTTTGTTTGCTATTATAGGATGAATAATCACCAAAACACATTTATAAACTCATATTTGTATCAATAACAATTTAAACAATATATTAATAAAACAAACCTCTTTTGTTGTATCAAAAGGATGAGACATTCTCCAATTATCGCATCAAATAGCCAAACAACTCATCTATCACATTGTGATAAAACTCATCGCATCATATAGGTAAAAACATAAATTCCTCGCATCACATGGGTGAGACAACCCCATTTCCTCGCAACACACTAGTGCGAGGACCTCATCACATCACATGATATAGGTGTGATAACTCAACTTGTCGCATCAATAACATGCGAGAAATCAATTCGCATCACAACAGTGCGATAAACATAACTTCTCGCATCACAAGAATGCGATAAACTTCCTTCTTGCATCACAAGGATTTGATAAAAGTCACTCATCGCATCAATAGGATGCGATAACCCAATTCATCGCATCACACAGAAGCGACAACTCAAAGTCATCGCATCATAAGAATGGGACAAACTGATATCAACTTGATAAAAACCCAAATTTTACATTCTGTTGATTATCTCACCTTTATCCTGGTATACACCTCTCATTGTTATGCCACCCTTATCCCAATATACATCTCTCCTGATTATGCCACCCTTATCCCAAAATACACCTCTCCGGATTATGCCACCCTTATTCCGATCATTTGTTATAAACATATCAAAATACCAAAATTATGTTAATCATAGCATAAATACATTTTTTATAATATCCCCACGTAAAGAACCACAGGGTTCCAAATCGACATTGTAAGATGAAAAGTTGTAAATAAAACTCACCTTATAATCAAAATGAGAAGAAGATATGAAGATGAACAACAACAATTATCCAGGTAGTAATCACAAAATCAACTTCCTCTTTCTCTTCTTTCGGTTTCTGGTTTCTCGAGCTCCAAATATACATAGAAGATTAGTAATTTCTTATTTTTACTTTTAACCCAAGGATTACCATCCCAATGAGATATATCAAATATCTCATATTATCATGCATAAAAGAAAAAATAAGGAGGTGGAAGTTTTTAAAAGAATTAAGCATATATTCAAATTTAACCCCTCAACTTACTTAATTAAAAGCAACGTCGAACTTTATAACCGATACCCCAGTTATCACATCTGTTCCATCCAACGTGAAATAGAAAAATCTGTTCCATTCAACTTCAAACGATAATGCGCTCACATAGTCACCCAACTTCCAAAAACAATATAATATAATGCAAGTTTTTTCCACCTAACTTGAAAACACATACCAAAATACAAGACAAAATATGTTCCCGAATCCAAACTCATTGACTAGAAGAGTTGAAAAACCCAAGCACGTAGGATCTTCTCATATGAGTTGGCAATTCAAACATGACCTTCACCTTGGCATGATCATTGTAGCAAACCTCAAGGGCTTTACTGACATCGGCTTGAGATATGCCAATACTAAGAAGTTCATCAACGATTTCTCACATCTTCTCATCGCTCAAATAATCATATTTATTTGCATGACTCACAACATTGGTTGAAATGGCAAATTGTGACGCCATTTGGTTCCAAATGGACAAAAACTTGGAAACAAAATCATCTAACCATGAATCAATGATATGTTGAAGTATTAAAATACTTTCTTTACTCAGTGAGAGTTTTTGGCGCTTCTTTGATGTATGAATGGTTGAATCATTCGATTTGAAAAAAAACAAGAAAAATTGTTCTAATCACAATGAGAAGTAAAAACGACTTGAAGAATCAATTTGAATTTGAAGAAGAACGGTAGAAGTCACCTTTTTAAATTGGAGAAGAACGACACCTTCGATTTGGAGAACTGATTGCCAAGGATCGAGAAAGTTCACAGAGAAATGGACGAACATATGGGTGAACGGGAAT